GCTGTTTTAATCGATTCAATCCACGAGCGGATTAAAAAGTAATCGGTTTTAATCCCACACGAATCGTAATTGATTTTACTATCGCTTTCGCAAATTATTTTTAATCCGAAATAATTACATTCTAATCCATACTGTTATCAATCCAAATAAATTTGAATAATCGAATGGATATACAGGGTGTCCCAAAAATTTTGACACAGCGCTTGTATGCTGGTAGAGAAGAATAAACTGAATCAAAAAGTCCTCTACCATTTTGCAATTTTCGCAAGGGTTAATGAGATATTAATTATTAAAGATCGCCGAATAAGCGCGTATCCGCTCAGCCCACCGCCGAATAGCGCACGGCGAGATACGTTTTTATGATTTTTTACCTGAAATGTTTTAATTGTGAAAATCACAGAAGTTTCATTTATTTTAAGTATCAGTTGTTTTGAATTTTTTGAATTTTTTGGAAATTTTTAACAGCATAGAGGTATATTAAATTAAAAAAAAAGAAATATATATAGAAATAATATACAGGATGTCCCGTAAAGACCGTAACAACGCTTAAAAGTATATTCCTGAGATAATTCGGAGCAAAAAATCTTAATACCAAAATACTCAGGATGTAATGGTCTTTGAATTAGAAGCATTTAAAGTTAGCGAATAAGATGGCCTGAAATTCGCGCGCTCAGGTGTGTACAACGTACAGTAATAAAAGCGAAATTGACTATCGCTCCCCTGTTGTCAGTATTAATATTTGGAAAATAAATTTGCTAATACATATTAACATAAATATTGTTTACGCAATTAAGATTACTCAAAGGTACAACATTAGTTACCTCAAAATTATATGCAAAGAGTCTTTACATATTCAATATTATTTAATTATTTTTAACTATTATTAAAATAAAATAATGTGAAACTATTTCAATTATTTAATAATTTTATTGTACAAATATCTGTAAGATAAAAAGAAATGTTAAAGAAATGTAATTTTTGACAGTTTGCGTTTTGTGTATCATATTTTTTTCTTTATAATATTTTCAACAAAATCTTAATTGCGTAAACAATATTTATGTTAATATGTATTAGCAAATTTATTTTCCAAATATTAATACTGACAACAGAGGAGCGATAGTCAATTTCGCTTTTATTACTGTACGTTGTACACACCTAAGCGTGCGAATTTCAGGCCATCTTATTCGCTAACTTTAAATGCTTCTAATTCAAAAACCATTACACCCTGAGTATTTTGGTATGAAGATTTTTTGCTCAGAATTATCAGGAATATACTCCTAAGCGTTGTTACGGTCTTTATGGGACACCCTGTATATGTCAAATATATGTAAGATTATATATAAGAATGATATAATAGTACAAAGTACAGTACAAATAGTAACAAAAATGTTTTTTTTTTGTTAAAATATTTTAAGAAAGTTTACAATTAAAAATTTTATTTTTCTAATTTTATAAATTGTTTATATTACTATTGTACTTGAAAATGTAATGCATAATATAAAAATTTTAAAACATTTCAATTCAGTTGCATTAAAACTTTTAATACTCTCCGCGACCACGTTTTGGAATCCTGACATTAGAAGCGAGAAATGATACATTGAGACGCTGAGAATTCTTGCGTGCCATTTTTAAATAAAAAGTTATTTTAATAAAATAACATTGTAAATCATGTTAATAAATTTGTAAAATTGTTCGAAAATTATTTTTTTTCTTTGGCGGTTGTTTAAAAAAGCATAGCTTTCAAACAATTTTACAAATTTATTAACATGATTTATAGTATTATTTCATCAAAATATCTATTTAAAAGTGGCACACAAGAATTTTCAACGTCTTAGCATGTCACATCGCATTAAAATTCGATTTAATTATAATTTATGAAATTCTGTAATTGGGATTGATATGGATTTATCCCAATATTAATCTGTCCGAATTGTACTAAATCCGATCTTATTTTTAATCGGTTTTAATACCGTATTTTCGGTGCAGAAATCCCGATCGATTCGGATTACTTTTTTTAAATCGGTTTTAATCGCATATTTTCGGCAGGGTTACTTCACATTAAGAACATTTTGCGTATATCATATTCTTCCTTTGTAAAGCGTATCAATACATTGTAAAACGTTATTATGTTTATTTTACTCTCTAACGACACTGATGAAGGCCAAATATAGGTCGAAACGTTTGTCTTTATAATTTATGGTATAATATATTGCATGAACAACTAGCAACGACTTTTTTTTGCCTTTTTTACCTAATATTAATTGATATATATTGATTTAATAATTTTATAATATAATGTTTTTATATGCATGTAGAAAACACATTTTTATAAAACTTATACTAAAAAAATATAAGCTATCGCAGACAGCACAAATGCTTAAAAACATTTAAAAGATGTCTATAATTTTTTAGATAAAATATTCTCAATTGTTTAAATATAAGTGAAGAAAAAGAAAGTAAATTTCTTAGTAAAAAGCAAACAAAAAGGAACATCCAAAAACATGTACATGAGTTATTGAATGAACTTAATTGTAATCGGATAAATTCTTGTCAATCTTCATGCATTTTTTCAAAACCTTCAACATGACATTCAGTCAATGACACTCACTTACAATTAGAACTAAACGATCAAGATTCGGATTTGAGTTTACATCAGCAGAATGAATTGAAAGACATTGAATTACGCAATAAAAGTTTTAATGTTACTTCTATTGTTGAAATATTTCAATAATCACTGAATGTCACTGAAGAACATGATTTTTTGAAGAGCAAAACATTACATGATGACTTTCAAAATAAATTAAGAAAGTGGGCCTTAATACATAATATTACATTGTCAGCATTAGATGAATTATTACCATTACTAAGAGAATTTCATTATAATACATCCTTGCCATTATTCGGAAAATCTTTGTTAAACACTCCAAGAACAACACATACAATTGATTTGCAAAATGGAAAATTTACTTATTTTGGTATACATAAGCAATTGCAAGTTCTGTTAAAGAAAGAATCATGCTCAAAAATTATTGATTTAGATTTTAATGTTGATGGCTTACCCTTATTTAAAAGTAACAGCATAGTTGTGTGGCCAATTCTTTGTAGATCATTAACTTTTAAGAAAAAGTTATCAAATAAACCATTCATTGTAGCTTTATTCTAACAAGTATAGTAATTTATTAGAAGCATTATTTTATTTTGTGACATTGGTAGCACTGGTTGAGTGACGACACAACTCACGAGTCTTTTGTTTTTGCCACTATGTGATCTTGTTTAGCCTTATTGTAGTTAGTTTTGTATTAACCACCATACTGTAAAGATATAAATATTGCTTGTTTAGTATTTCAGCTTATAATCTTTTTCCCTGCATTTCTCCTAAGTTCTCATATTCACTGACAAAGGAAAACCAGAACCTATTGATCTTTATTTACAAGATTTGATACACGAGATTAATGATTTCATAAAGAATGGTATTGAAATAAATCATAAATTATTTCAAATTAGAATTGGGTCTCTGATTTGTGATGCTCCTGCACGAGCTTTCCTAAAATGTTGTGTAGGTCATAATTCTAGGCATAGATGTGAAAAATGCTGTGTTGAAGGGGAATACGTTAATCATAAAATGACTTTTCCATGTAAAAATGAACAACTTAAAACAAAAGAAACTTTTAATGAACAAGTACATGAGAAACATCATAAGGGAAAATCCCCATTATTGAATTTAAACTTAGATTTAGTGAATCAAGTTCCATTAGATCCTATGCACTTAGTATATTTAGGTGTAATGAAAAAATTGCTGACATTATGGGTATCAAAGGGGAAACCTTCATTTAAATTATTGGGAAGAATCATTAATGATTTATCTGATAAATTAATTTCGATGTCTTCCTATATAATACATGAATTTTCTAGAAAAGCTAGAGGTATATCTGACTTAAATCGATGGAAAGCAAATGAGTTCAGGTTATTTTTGTTATATGTCGGTCCGGTTACTTTAATAGATATTTTGCCAAAACAACTTTATAATCATTTTTTAATATTTCATGTTAGTATTACAATTTTGTGTAATGATAATCATATTTCTAAATATATTGATTTTGCAGAAAAAATTTTGTATAAATTTGTAAAATATTTTGAAAAATCTTATGGAAAAGAAGTAGTAACATATAATGTTTACAGTTTAATTCATTTAGTAACAAATGTAAGAAATCTTGGTAATATGAAATTGATTGCTTTCCTTTTGAAAATTATTTGGAAAAATTAAAAAAACTTGTAAGATCATTCGCAAATCCTCATGCACAACTTTGTAGACGTATAATTGAACTCTCTTATTATTCAAAGGCTGAATTACCAGTAACTAAATTAGAACCAAGGCAAAAGCATTTTGAAAGACCTACACTCAGAAATACAACTGACTTAATTGTGTAATACAAGAAATTAAAAACACCGACATATGTTTTGACGATTTTTTCCCCTGACAATTGCGTTTCAATAGGAGATATCGTTGTTCAGATTGTAAACATTCTGTGCTTGGAAGATCAATTTTATTCTTTAATTTGTCGTCGATTCTTGAAAGTTTCTGAGTTTTATAATTATCCATGTTTGTTTCTTCGCAAACTATTGAACATTTTTAAGGTGTCTCACGTATCACCTGACATTGAAGAATTTTCTTTTGCATCAGTAAAATATAAAAACATGTTATTATCCGGATATGAAAAAGGGACTTACATTGTGTTCCCTCTTCTTCATGAATTATAATTAATGCATTTCTTTTGTGTTATATATTGTATATATTATTGTACTATATTCATTGCATCTATTATTTTTTTAAAAAGAGCAGTGTCAGTATTAGTGTTTAAACTAAGTAAGTTAATAATTTTGTTTAAAAAGGTTTCAAACTAAATTTATTTATATTTAATTATATTTAGTTATAAAAGCTTGAATGTTCTACTCTATTTTGTAAAAATATTATATTTTATTTTTTCAGATTATAATGTATTCGTTAATAGAATTCCCTATGAATTGTGGACAAAAACCTGAAGTTGAGGTAGTTCCCAATATTTGGTTAGATAAAAAGGAAGAAATATGCTATTGTTTTTGGCCGCAAACAGCTTCCACAAAACAAATTCGCAATGCTATTGAGAAATGTTATTTGCCAGAAAAAAACTGGATGAAATATAAATGCAAAGTATTGCATACATATGGTAAATTTTTTTATTTTTATTAGTACTTATTAGTAGTTCCAACACTAGCTATCTTAATAATTCACTAGTATGGCCAATAATTTACTTGCAATAGGAGTACTATTGGTCACTGACCAGTATCATTACTGACCAGTACCAAGTTCCCAGCAGTACAACCACAAAATCCAGTAACACTTCTCAGAATCATTAGTGTATTACTGGCCAGCCAGTAATATTTTTCTGTAAGGGTTTATTACCCCAATATTTAACATATATTAGAAACTTAATCTGTTTTTTATTAGATTATTTCTTATCCTTGTCTTTTGCTTCCTTCTCCATATATGTTACATATTACTTTGTTCATTTTTATGATGTAATTTTCTTATATGTTGTCAGACTAAAGTATTATATTCTATATTCGTAATATACATTTCTCCACCTCAAATCTTTCTTCAAATATTTATGAATATAGTTTTCATGTTTTTTATTATACACGTTTTCGATTTTTGAATTAATGACATTTGATTTTAAAATTTATAGATGATTATTTTATTATTATTTAGCTTCTTACGATGATGCGAGGAAAAGATTAGTAGATGCAGAATTTACGTCTACCCTCGAAACTGATGTAGAACTGCATGAAAACCAACGGCCAAAAAGAAATATAAAAAAACTTTTCGACTTTATTTGAATTCTTTAGATTCAGATACAGATGAAGAAATATCATGCAATAAGAATAAAATCTCTTCTCCACCTATGTTAGGAACACCAACAAAAAATAGTAATGTTTTACCGCGAGAAGATCTTTAATTACTTCCAAACTATCAACATCGACAGCCGATAGTTCTCCAAGGTTTTCAGAAAGAGCAGTTAGTCCTCCGCAGAATACATTGAGAACTACATTGACCAGTTCACAATTTGACAAATCAGGTAAGATATTAATATAATTTCTCTATACATACAAAACTATTGCAGTAATATTAGCAATTATTTATAAAAAACATATAACTTAGAGATAGCTTTGCTCTTGAGATACACTGCACAGAAAAATATCCTGAACAATCTGCACTTTGATTCATTTAAAGTCGCTTTTTTGAACAATTTTGCTTTAATTAATTAATTACCTATTTTTAATATTAGTTTATTATTTATACGCTGGTTTCCATACGTTGCGTAGTCCAGCACTATTCAACTTTTCCATATTTCATTATTTCTGTGTTAAGAGAAAGAAAGAAAGAGCAGTGTTAAAAAATAAATTTATTTTTTTTAACTCTAATATAAAATGTTATCTTTAGATTTTTCTTGCCTTATTCTAACAAAATTAGCAAGCTTAGAAAATTCTATGAATTTGCTTTTTCCGATGGTTAAACAACTTGTAGCACATTTTCGACTATCGACAATACCGCATATGGAAAGTGTTCCCGAAATGCCAGTTGACACTAAAGAAAAACTCGAAAATGTTGAAAGATTTTTAAATACAAAACAAAATTATGAATATATGGTAAGTAGAAGTATTCTTAATTTTTAACAATCTGCCATCTTTTATTTAAAAAATGACATTGGTTATAAAATTTTAAAAATAATATTCAAACACACATATATTTTATATAGTTTATATGTATGAATATTTTACACACACAGACACATAGAAAGAGAGAAACTTTGTATATTATTTGTAATACACACTGAAAGTACAATAAAATGCTGCAATAAAAAACGTTCAACATATATACGCTTTTTTTCAAATTAAAACATTCTTTATAAAAAAAATTAAAACTTAAAAAAATTAAAAATAAGAGTGTTATACTTATTATCAAAAAAGAGAAAAGCAGCAACCATTACAAATTTAATAAAAAGACTTATTTTCAAATAAAAAAATTTATTTTTAAATAAAGAAAAGTATGAATATTATTCAAAATATTTTAAATTTGATTTTAGATTAGAGAAAAAGATTGATTTCTTCAGATCTTGTTTAATATAACTCTCTAAATTCTTATTATATATTTTTGCATTCTATTTATTTTCCTTTCTTTTTTAGTCTACATTTTTTTATTAAATTAATACATTATTGTTATTCTTTTTAAGGTGAATACCTTAGTTATATCAGGCGATACAACAATTGCACAGATAACAAGAAGAACATTGGAAAGAGTAATAACAAATAATTACGCTAAGAACTTTAATTGGGCAGGAAGACCGCCTAAAAAAGCCTTCAAGATTTTAAAAATAAAAGATTTGATCATAGATTTGTCTTTTTTCTTTCTTCTTTGAAGTCAGTTAGCATTAATAATATTTAGCAAGTGTGTTTAATTATTACATATGCATGTATATTATTCTATAGCTACAGTACAGTACGTACATGCAGCTATTGTAAAGCTGTATTCAATAATTATATATATATATATATATATAATTTTTTACAGCCACTGTAAAGAGCGTTGAACCAAATGCTGCAGTAAACAAAATTGAAAATTCTATTAAAGATTGGTTAAAGCTGTCATCTGTTCGTATTGCCTTAGCCAAAGTTAGGACATTAAAGAACCTTCAGCGACAATAGTAATTATAAGGATTAAGATTTAGGATTAAGATTAGGTTTATATAAAAACATAAGTACATACAAAGGAAACATAAGTATAAGAAGAATTTTTTTATTTTCGAAAAAATTTAATGTTAATTTTTTTTAATTTTATTTGTGTTTCAATTTTTAAAATTTATTTTTTTTAGAATAATGTTCAAAATATTGTTTTATTTAGTATAATGTTTTTTAAAAATTTAATGTCATAAAAGTTATTACATAATTATTGTAAAAGTATTTGTGATATCTTATTGTAACAAGCAAAAAATATATTAACTTTGCATTTATATAAATATGTATATTTTTTTCACGGATAAAAGAAAAAAATATTTTTCCTTTTATTCGCAAAAAAAATGTGCTTTTTCTCACAGAATTAATAAAATAATACATTCATACATATGTATATGTGTACCCAGACAGCATAAATGTCTTACAGATGTTTTTAAGACATTTGTGCTACCTGGGTACACATATACATATGTATAAATGCATTATTTTATTAATTCCATTAAAAAAAGTACATTTTTTTTGCGGATAAAAGAAAAAAAATTCTTTTTTGATTGTTTCTTAAACTTTTTTTTTATCGTTTCTTAAACGTTTTTTTTATTGTTTCTTAAACATTTTTTTGATTGTTTCTTAAACGCTTTTTTGATCGTTCCTTAAACGTTTTTTTGTCGGAAAAATAACGTTTTTCTTGACGTATTTCGGGTGGACATTTTTACCAATGAGAAACGTTTTTTAGAACCGTTATGAAATGTTTCAAAGAAACATTTCTGAAACGAACATGTGCTACCTGGGCTGTAATTTACAAGCCTCATAACTCGAAAAGTACTTAATGAAAAATAACTTCATTATAGTGTTTTGAAAAGCTCTTAACACCAGCTATTAGATTTTGAAATAAAAAATAGGGTGTTTTATTTAAAAAAACAAAATTGACCTTGATATGACCTTGGCATGTACACTCTAGGTTAAACCACGGTGTAAGAATATAAGGTAATTTCACGACCATTGTATTCTATCAAAAAATCTGTGATCAAGATGTCATAGTTAAGGCATGTCACACAAGAAATGTCACGTTGGTGCAAAATCCCAAGTAAAAAAGAATAGAAGATATGGATAGATGTGGATAGAAAAGGATAGATGATGAATCTTTAAAGCACATCTATATATAATTATAGTCTTAAAAAATACAAATTTTTTAAAATAAAACTTTTAACATTGTGTATAAAAATATATATTACTAACAAAATATTTTTTATTTTTTATAACAAATTATTCTTAGTTAAATTTGCAGAAAAAATAATTAATAATGTATTCCAGTCTTTATAGAAAATTAAGTTTTTTTAAGAAAATGAATATTTATAATTAAGTTCCGCAGGACAATAAAATTTTAATAAAATTTATATATACAGGGTGTCTGGCAATAATCGCCCCACCGGTCATATACAGGTAGAGGAGGTCAAATCGAGTAGAAAAGTCCTTTATCATTTTTTAATTTTCATAATAAATACTGAGTAATTAACGAAAAAAGATCGGCGAATCCGCGCGAGTAAAGCGCGCGCAGCGAGAAGGACATCCCACTGCTATGCGATCACTAGGCGCGCGATGAAGCGTTGGGAGGAGCGCTCTACAAATGACAATGGCAACATACGAGCGGCGCGTAACGCTAGATCCTTGTGTCCTAGTGATCGCGTAGCAGTGGGACGTCCTTCTCACCGCGCGCGCTTTACTCACGCGGATTCGCCGATCTTTTTTCGTTAATTACTCAGTACTTATTATAAAAATTAAAAAATGGTAAAGGACTTTTCTACTCGATTTGACCTCCTCTACCTGTATATGACCGGTGGGGCGATTATTGCCAGACACCCTGTATATATATTTAAAGTCCCTCAACACGTAGCCACCTAGCGGTTCAATGTGGAACAATGACAGGAAAATCACAAAAATTTGTTGCCGTGAAATCACCTTATATTCTACACCGTGGGTTAAACCAATGTCATCATCGGATGTCCCCCTCCAAACTCAACAACTTTTGTCTAAATTATTTTTCTTGAAAATGTCTCTCTGAAAAGTTATTCACGTGGGGTTTTTAAAATAGGACACCCTGTAAATTGACTAAAAAGTAAACTTGTAAAAAAAATGTAAATGCAAATTTCTTATGTGTACTCACCCTTTCTTTAACTTTGCGGATTAGTTTTACAAATTCTGGGATGAAAGAACTTTGTGATTATTGCCTCCTCTCAAAATTAAAGAAGTTTGGATACAATTCACTCCGTATGCGTCTTTCTCATCCGTATTGAGATGAGCGTCCTATCAAAAACTGATCGTTAATGAATAAAGAATATATCTCGAGCAATGTTCTTATAAACGACACTTCTTCTCGCGCTTGCGCGGTGCAGCACCAATGAATGCAATGGTGTATATGAATACATGTAGGGGGTAATGTTGGACGCTGTTGAGCACAAAGAGAGCTGCCTTCTGATATTCATTATTAGTATTAAAATTTATAGTTTATGTTACCTATCTGTAGCATTTTAATACTGGTAGTGAGTATCAAGACACAATCAAGCTTGGAGGGTTGCAACGGAAAAATTTTTTAAAAATTTAAATAAAAGGCTCGAAAATATCTTTTTTCTCTTGAATTAATACTTTATTGCCAATTCATGACCAATTTTCAGACACATGCAAAAAAAACATCTAGCGCGTCTAGCAACACTAATTTCAAGCCCCAAACACCATGAAAATTCAATCAAAGGCTCGAAAATATCTTTTTTCTCTTGAATTAATACTTTATTGCCAATTCATGACCAATTTTCAGACACATGCAAAAAAAAACATCTAGCGCGTCTAGCAACACTAATTTCAAGCCCCAAACACCATGACGCACACAAGCTAAGATCTTTTCGCCCCTGATGGAAATATTTGCTGAAAGTCTATGATATCAATAAAAAGTAAAATAAAAGTTTTGAAAAATTACTGAATATATT